GTTCTTGTAGAAACTTATTCTAAAACAAAGGAGAATATTTTGGTACCACACAAAAGATGAACGTCCAGATTTTTTTTACTCAGCTCGTTGACAAAAGGTTAGTCATGTGTCGTGCCCAAAAGTGCCTGCGAACTGACTTTGCTTAATGTCTTAACAAACTGAGATCAAGATAAACTTACCCTCATTTGGATCTTGCACCTTCTCCTCCTCAACAGTCTCCATATCTGTAGCAATAGGAGGCATGCAGTCTTTGAAGCAGGTCTTCAGACCATCAAGTGCGTTGTTTTCGTTCGGCTTTGTGAAGAAACTGGCTGTCTCGCACACGCCGTCTACGTTGCAGACCGTAGTAGTGTGCTCTTCAGTGTTTTCCACTTTGATAAATAAGGAAGAGAGTAGAAGATCCACATTATTGCAAACCAGGAGATACCGATAAAATAAAATAATATAACAAAAGCAACCTACACGTAGTCCAACCATCACAACGGAATGCACACTGGTTGAAGTCGTCAAATGTCTCATTTACCCTCCGGACTTCAAGGCAATGATTCTCGTGTGAGTCGCAGAGCCTAATTGGTCCAGTAGTGTTGTGCTGAGCTGAAAAGCGGAGGAAAGCCGTTATTCCACAGTCAAAAATTGTGCACCGTCATGCTTAAGGGCAGAACTGTGGTGGCATCACGGCAACTGCATGGAAGAGGAGGGCGCAATTTACCTTCCGCGACAAGGGTGCACACTTCGACACACTGAATGTGCCTCCTCATACTTATTTGGAATTCATCTCGACCGAAGAACGCGTATGATGTGCACGAATCAGGGCCTCTTTCGCAGTGGACGGCTGGCCATTGTTTATCAAGGTCTCCTATAGGGAATGGGGTGGAGGGAGGGGGTTTGATATTCGGAGGTGTGGACAATGGGCTGTTTGCAGGGTAAAAACTGCATAAAGCAAGCGCATGCATGTAAGAGATAAACTGACCCTGTTCGTCGCCGCATGCCTCACGACACAGAGCACCCTTACTCACGTCTCCAAGCCTGTAGTGGATATGCTGGCAATATTGTGTCGGTGTTTTGCATATTTTGTAACCTGTGGAGCTCTCAGCATGTACTATAAAGGTAAATTGAGTCGAATTAATGTACAAGTTTACAGTTTTGAATATGATTACAAAATTCACGACATTTATTCGTTCACGTCTGGAATATGAATTTTAGGCGTTGCGAGCATGACTGCAAAAAGACCACCAGCTGCTGAAAAAAGTCTAAAGGAGGGCAACAAATATTGTGAATGGCCTAAAGTCCTCATCTTACGAATGTAGACTAGAAGCCCTTAGACGTTTTCCTCTTAAGTACAGGTAAATCTGAGGTGATCCTATACAGACGTACCAGCTCGTGAGAAATCGGCAGTGTGCCTTGCAGTTTGATGACTTCTTTGCATTCGCCATATCAACCAACTTCCGTGATAATTCCCTCAAACTGCAGGGAACCTTAATCCCTCTAGATGTCCACAGGCATTCGTTTTCACAGCAAGTCATTGGTGCCTGGAATGGACTGCCAGAGGAGGTCATAATGGCGAACACGACATATGCATTCAAACGCATCCTGGATGCATATTTACTAAGTAGAAACCGTTCACACGCACAGGAAAGCATTGCTAGTGGACACGAACGCTATAGTCACACATAAAGATAACAAAATTTTACATGTGCATATGTTAA